GGGGGGGGAAGCAATCCCATACTAGAGGCCCTTCACATGCATCGTAAGTGGCTTCATTTGGTGCAGGAGAGGAATCAGCTGGGGGGTGTCTGAGTTGCTCAAGATCCAAGAGCACTAAAAAGGAAACCATTCAACCATCCTCTACCATTTTCATTTTCGAACTAACACCCCGCTGCCGCCACAGCAGGACCTGCATCTGTGTAGAAAGTCAGTGAAAGAATGGGTGATCTCACTTTCTCCAACAGGTGGGTCCTACAGTGTTGTGCACAAAACAAAACTTGAGTAAATCGGTGCATATTTTTAATACCGTAGCAGAGGTCCTTGTTTTAGCAATCCTGACAAGATCCTCTTTGCAAAGCAAAGAAGCCGATGTTGTGATAACGCTGTGTTTTGTAAATAATTTTGGGCTGTTGTTGTTTTGGTGGGGCTTCTTTTTGGTTTTTGGGGGGTCTTGTTTGGTGCTCTACGAGGGTCCTGGTTTCAGCCGGGAGCCAATCTTCTGAGCCGTCTGGGTGTCTGGGAGACTGGTGGGGCAGCTGGGTCATGAGCCGATTTGCATGACACCAAGGACTCTCCTGCGAGAGACCTCGTCACCGTAAGGGCTGAGGGAGCCGCTCGAGCTCGGCCAATAAGAACGGCTGGGGCACTGGAGGAGAACGGCGGTCAGAGCCTAGGGCCGTGTCTGTGTTAGGTTTCTTCCCAGCCGCCTGTGGCTCAAATCAAGTCACCCAGCAGGAGGGAGCTATGAACACAAGCCCCAGAAAATGCCACACGGTCCTCCTTTGACATCCCATCAAAGAGGTGAGTAGTATTCTCCCCACTTTTTCCTTGACCAGTGGGTGTCAGTAACTTGAGGGCTCCAGCAGACCCGGCACCCACCCAGGCTCCTCGGGGCGCCTCTGCAGGAGCAGGAGCACCCCATTGCCAGCAGCGGGGACAGCACAGCAGCCCAGACAACCCCTGTGGCATAGAGATCAAAGTCTTCACCAGCAAGGTCCCCAAGAAGCCACGAGGGAGAGAGCAGGGCTGTAGCTGACCTGGCCGCAATGAGCTGGGGCAGGTGAGGAGGAAACTGATTAAATGCCACATGGTGGCAAAAAGGAGTCATTTTTGTCGGCACCCCTCACTGCGCCTGGAGAGATTAACTGCAGGAGATGTGGGGGCAGGCAGGCATTTCTGCAACAGCTGGCCCTGCAAGAGCCAGGAAAGAAAAGTACTGTGGATGGCTCAGAGTGTTCTTTTTCACCCCAGGCCGGTGGGCTACAGTGGGCTGAGGAAACNGTCACCCCAGGCCGGTGGGCTACGGTGGGCTGAGGAAACTCAGGTCAGAACCTCTCAGGTTTTTAAAACTGGAAAACCAAGTCCTAGATCCTAGCCTGTTAGTCTAGTAATTAAAGTTTCTTCTTTTTTAAGTCACAGTCAGCCTTAGCTTCTCCAATCCCTCTAAAACTTGTGGATGACTTGAGCGTTACTTTCTCAAAACATGCCAAAGTGCTGAGTCACAAAAAAAAAAAAAAAAAA